GTCCTGGCTACTCGGGAGACTAAGGTGGGAGGATCCCTTGAGTTCAGGAGGTTGAGGTTACAGTGAGTGATTGTGCCACTGCACTTCAGCCTAGGTGATAGAGTGAGACCCTGTCTCTTAAAAAAAAAAAAAAAAGAAAGAAAGAAAATTTAGCCAAAATGGTTTTCTCTGAGTGGTGGCAGCATGTCAACCTCCATTTTATGTCTTTATTACAGGAAATTCCTGTTAATGATGGAATAGAGCTGTTGCAGATGGTTCTGAACTTTGATACCAAGGATCCCCTCATCCTGTCCTGTGTCCTTACTAATGTCTCTGCACTCTTTCCATTTGTCACCTACAGACCAGAGTTCCTGCCCCAGGTCTTCTCTAAGGTAAAGTCCATGTCCTTTGTAAATTCTATTTTGACATTTCTAAGTTAATTTTTATTCTACTTTTTGGAGACAGGATCTTGCTATATTGCCGAGGCTGAACTCAAACTCCTGGTCTCAAGGGATCCTCACACCTCAGCCTTCTGAGTAGCTGAGACTACAAGCATGCATCAGTCACCATGCCTGGCCTAAGCTAATTATTTTTATAACTGTTTTTGAAATTATGTGAGGCAAATTAATAAACACAGTTATTTATTAAATACCTACTCAGTACTTACTGTGGATTAGGCAGTATGCTAGTGCCTCACTCTTTAGGAACACTCTGGGAAGAAAGGCACAAAAACAGATATTGTTACCTATATGGCATTGCAATGAAGACTTGTACACTGGGAAATGGGAAAGAATACTTAAAGGAGAGTATTAGAGTGTGCTCTCAGCCTGGGAGGGGATTTATGAGAGGAAGGAACAATACAGATATTTTTCAGGTTTCTAGTTCAGTTGACTAGGTGGGTGATAGAGCCACTACCTGAGTGAGAATACTGGATCAGGAAGGAGAACAGGAGTGAAGAGAAAGCGGTGAGTGTTTTGGAATACTGTGTTTGTAGTATACATAGAGCATCTTTATGGAGAAATCTCACAATAAATTGGCTATTTGATGTTGAAGATCTAGATTCTAGAAAGTAACAAGATAAAATTAAAGCATCATCATCATAGAAGTCCCAAGACCAAAAGTTATGGATACTTAAGTGATTATGTAGAGTTAGGAGACATGTGAGTCAAGCAAGGAACCTAGAGGAGTAGAGAAAAAAATGAGAAGCCCCCAAAGAAGAAAAAAGAGCCAGAGAGATGAAAATGTTGTGTCACAAGACCAGCAGAACTTCAGAAAAGTGGGCTTATTTGTTGCAGATTCTTATTAGTTGTCAAATGTCCAGTGAGTTTCTTGACTACACTGTTGTCTTGAGTTTAATTCCGTAATAGTGATCAAGGAAGCAGCCATATTTCATTGGGATGAGGAGTAAATGGGAAGTAATGAAGTGGAATCGGGGGGATAGATTACACAACTTTTGATAAAAAGAAGAGAGAGGTGTTTCCATAGCCAAGTGTTTGGGTGATGGCATGAATTGTTCTGGGATCCTATTGTGAAATGTTTTGATGGTGAAATTGTGACTCCGAAGCCTCTTGTGGAGGTATCTGAGAAAATGGACAACATGAATAAGCTCATGCTTATAGTCCCAGCTACTCAGAAGACTAAAGCGAGAGAATCACTTGAGCCCAGGAATTCAAGTCTAGTCTGGGCAACATAGCAAGATCTCATCTCTAAAACAAACAAACATGAGTGACCTTTTTTCCTCTTCTGCCGTAGCTATTTTCATCTGTCACTTTTGAAACTGTTGAAGAAAGTAAGGTAAGACTATTAATTAAACTAACAGATTCTAACTTCTTGAGAACAAAAGTATGAATACCTGAAACCCAGTTTATATTTTTATATAAATGGGAGGGGGTAGTAAGGGCAGTAGATTATCATATGATATGGTGTTTTGCCCTAGAGACACTCTAGGGCATACAGGAAACATGGATTCTTGGTGGCTATAAATGTTACTCTATTATACTCTTATGGTTGTGAAAAATCATTGTGAACTTGCCCCTAATTGAGATATTTACATGATTCTATGCAGCATCTATAAATTATATGGAAGTAGCTCCAAGTTTGTTGAATGTCTCTTTCCAGGCCCCTAGAACCCGGGCAGTGAGGAATGTAAGGAGACATGCTTGTTCCTCCATCATCAAGATGTGTCGTGACTACCCCCAGCTTGTGCTGGTAAGCTGCTGAAAGAGCCAAGTTTGGTTACATTTGTGTATAAATCCAGACTTCAGTGTACCTCACATAAAGAAAAAACTAGTAGCTATTGCTTTACATCAATTAAGCATTCTTGGCTGGGCATGGTGGCTCATGCCTGTAATCCCAGCACTTTGGGAGGCTCAGGCAGGTAGATCACCTGAGGTCAGGAGTTTGAGATCAGCCTGGCCAACATAGTGAAGCCCCATCTCTACTAGAAATACAAAAAATTAGCCGAGCATGTTGGTGCGCACCGGTAATCTCAGCTCCTCAGGAGGTAGAGGTTGCAGTGAACCAAGATTGCACCATTGCTGCAGCCTGGGCAACAAGAGTGAAACTCCGTCTCAAAAATAAATAAATCAGCATTGTTGAATTGGTGTTTTCTTAGTATACTTAGTAGTATAGTTAGAAATGTGATGACAAATATAATCTCTTCAAAATACAGATAGTTTACCCTTAATCTACAACTCTTTACCATGTGATGACCTTAATTACTACTGCCAAATGATGTGCCAAATGATCTTGAGAAAAGCAGATGCAAATCACAACCGTTTTTGGGACATAGGGTGATAAGAAATTTAACATTACTCCAGATTACAAATTAACCAGAAATTTCTTCTCTGAATGCACAGTAGTTGTCTCCCTATGTATATAACAAGCTGATCTTTTCACAGTTGTAGTATAGGAAAGTGCAGTTATCCAAATACTCAAGACAAGAGCCATCTTCTGCCTGAATTGCCTGCTATTTAGGCAAAACAAGGATGTATAACAGAATTGCCAAGTAATAGCCTTATAGGCCTGACTTTCCTGAGACTGCCTTGGTTTTCTTCTTTCTTCCTTGAGTGAGCCACCTCTCCTTTAAAATCAGACCTTTGCCACCTCTGGCTTTTTTTCTTTTTGATCTGTAGCCCAATTTTGACATGCTTTATAACCATGTGAAGCAACTCCTCTCCAATGAGCTACTCCTGACACAAATGGAGAAGTGTGCCCTCATGGAAGCACTGGTTCTCATTAGCAACCAATTCAAGAACTATGAGCGTCAGAAAGTGTTCCTAGAGGAGCTGATGGCACCCGTGGCCAGCATCTGGCTTTCTCAAGACATGCACAGGTAAAGGAGATAATTTGCCCTCTCACTACATGCACCCATTTTGGTTTAAGAGCTTGGCCCAGGGTGGAAATAGGGGTTAAGGATATTGGAAGTGTGATGGCATTATCCATAATACCTGAAGTTCTCCTAAAAGAAGTCCTTTGTAATTTAATCTCTGGTTAGATTAGATTATGGGTGGGGAGGGCACAGAGTGAGACTCCTTTAGTGTCTACATTGCAGTACCAGCACATTTGGAGAAATGAGAACAGCTAGGAAGGGCCCTACAACCACACTTACCTGTGCTCACACAGTAGAAAAATTATTTTCTTTATATTTTCAAGATTATATTCTTGTTTAATTTTTAAATTGTTACTAATAACATTTGGAAGTGGGAGGGAAATTTAAACCTTCAAATGACAGCTGACAATTAGTATGATTATACTCCTCTCACTATAAAACTGCTCTTCAGGGCCAAATAATCATAACTGTTAACTCATGAGGAAGAAACTGTCTTTGCTTAAAATCATGATATAACTTGTTTTTTCCCCTCCAACCTTCAGAGTGCTATCAGATGTTGATGCTTTCATTGCATATGTGGGTACAGATCAGAAGAGCTGTGACCCAGGCCTGGAGGATCCCTGTGGCTTAAACCGTGCACGAGTAAGACTTTCCTGGGAATGGGAAGTGGCATTGGCCATGGGTAGGAGTAGGGTGTTGTCTGTTGTCAAGTTTCTCATAGATTTGTTTATTCTATACTGGTGAGAAACCTGGGAGTCTCTACTTCCCTAAGCTTCTCCTTTCTTTTCTTCTTTAGTCTTGAATTCTTGAGTTAGTTCCCACAGCAGAGCAGATGGTCTTTTCTATGAAGTCATTATTTTGGCTTTAAGGATCTCTAAATAGCTCTGAAGACTGAAGGTGTAATGAGGAAGTAGGTCAGAACTTGGTCAGCAGGGTGAGTCCTCCCTGCCATTGCTCTCTGGCATGAAAAGTCTTAAGTGATGGCTTAACTTACAAACCTGAGATTTTTCAGTGCTTTGCTATTTAAATAAGCAATGTTCCTGGTTCCATTATGGCACAAGTCCCATTATTTAACCTGGCAAGTGGTAGGTTGATTGAGAGTACCATGAGGGGGGATTAGGACACTAGCTGTCAAGGCCCAAGCTGGAGGGTGCAGGATCAACTCAAAGAAGATGAAATGATGGCACTTTAAACACTTTGTTTTGGATCTTATCTAAGACACCTTCTAATCAGGGTCCTGTGGGTGGGTCACTGCAGCTCCTAGAAAGATAGCTTGCTGAAAGGGAAGTTTCCAGAGCCTACCACTGGCCCTGAAAATTGCAGTGAGAGGATCCCTCTTGGACTTCACCTTAAAAGAAGGAACAGGGGACTATGGGGGAGCAGAGAATTATTTCATTCTCTCTGGCCTCTGTATCACTTTTGCCAGAGCCTTGAATATATCTAACAGTACTTTGTGTTTTCTTTCTCTTTTATATTTATCTGTCATTCTTGTTTTTCTATAGATGAGCTTTTGTGTATACAGCATTCTGGGTGTTGTGAAACGAACTTGCTGGCCCGCTGACCTGGAAGAGGCCAAAGCTGGGGGATTTGTGGTGGGTTATACATCCACTGGAAATCCAATCTTCCGTAACCCCTGCACAGAGCAGATTCTGAAACTTCTTGACAATTTGCTTGCCCTTATAAGGTGAGCCAGAATAATGGCTTTTCTCTGTTGTTTTTTACTTCTTTACCTTAAAAATTTCAAAAGTTTGGTCTTATATATCTTCATATCTTAGTGGTGTTAATGAGGCATTAAATATTAAGTCTTATTCTTTCTAGAGAGTGTCTCAGTTTTTAAAAAATAACCTCAGCTCTCACTTGCATAAATCTTAATTTCCATGTGAACCCAAGGGGGCTAATCCCAAAAGGGCTTTTCTTATTTTGAGCCGCCTCTTTGTTATTCTTCCATTTCTTTATAACTCATCCCTATTTTTACTTGTTTTATTTGGTCTAAATTATTTAGTAAAGGACTTGCTCATTGGGAGCAGGGCAGTGCCTTCTATAATGGTGTTTCTCATTGCCCAGTTGAGACTGCTTTTACTGGGTGGTATTCATATGAGCTAATCTGAATTTACCAATACTGAGTCTGAGCTCAAATGGACCAAACAGCTGCTGGCTGAACATGCTAAACAAAGGAGTTACACATTTTTCACCTCGGTTTGTTAGGTTCTTGGTTCTCAAAGCTGAGTCCTAAGACCAGTAGCATTAGTATCACCTGAGAGCTTATTTAAAAGGCAGAATCAAGGCCCCACCCTAGATGTATTAAATCAGAATCTACATTTTTAACTAGATCCCCAGATGGCTTATATACACATTAAACATTCAGAATCACTGTTCTAGATCACATAAGTTAATATATTCAAGTGGAAGTAGGCCAGAATAGGCTTGTCAGTTACTAGATAGATATTTGATGACTTAGGGATGCTCTGTAAAGAAAAAGATAGGTTTTTTTTTTTTTGAGACGGAGTTTCACTCATGTTACCCAGGCTAGAGTGCAATGGCGCGATCTCGGCTCACCGCAACCTCCGCCTCATGGGTTCAGGCAATTCTCCTGCCTCAGCCTCCTGAATAGCTGTGATTACAGGCACACACCACCATGCCCAGCTAATGTTTTGTATTTTTAGTAGAGACGGGGTTTCACCATGTTGACCAGGATGGTCTCGATCTCTTGACCTCGTGATCCACCCGCCTTGGCCTCCCAAAGTGCTGGGATTACAGGCTTGAGCCACCGTGCCCGGCCAAAGATAGGTTTTTGATAAAATTCAGTTATTAGACAAAGCAGAATACGAGTGCTTTTTATATCACACAGGATCTTTTCTTTTCTTTTCTTTTTTTTTTTTGTAACAGAGTCTTACTATGTCACCCAGGCTGGAAGTACAGTGGCATGATCTCAGCTCACTGGAACTTCTGCCTCCTAGCCTCAAGCGATTCTCCTGCCTCAGCCACCTGAATAGCTGGGATTACAGGCGTGCACCACCACTCCCAGCTAATTTTTGTATTTTTAGTAGAGACAGTGTTTCACCATGTTGGCCAGGCTGGTATAGAACTCTTGGCCTCAAGTGATCAGCCTGCCCCAGCCTCCCAATGTGCTGGGATTATAGGCATGAGCCACTGTGCTTGGCCTCTCACAGGATTTTTAAGTTACATTGTTAGAGCTCTGTTTCAGTACGTTTTGGGCCCTTCTCCAGGGAGTAAAAGTAGCCTCAACTGGGCAAACCAAATTATTAATGTCTCAGGGAAACTCCTGGGAATAGACACCCAAGACCTGAAGCCTAAGAAACAAAGATTTTTAAGTTAATGCTGACAAATTGGAGGGCTGGAGTGTCTGATAAAGTTGACATTGTGGACATGTCTATGGAAATAGACAGTATTTTGGCCAGGCACGGTGGATCACTTGAGGTCAGGAGTTCAAGACCAGCCTGATCAACATGGTGAAACCCCATCTCTACTAAAATTACAAAAATTAGCTGGGCGTGATGGCACATGCCTGTAATCCCAGCCACTTGGGAGGCTGAGGCAGGAGAATCACTTGAACCCAGGAGGTGGAGATTGCAGTGAGCCAAGATTGCGCCACTACCAACCTGGGCAACAGTGAGACTCCAGGGCCAGGTGTGGTGGCTCACGCCTGTAATCCCAGTAATTTGGGAGGCAGAGGTGGGCAGATCATGAGATGAAGGGATCAAGAGCATCCTGGCCAACATGGTGAAACCATGTCTCTACCAAAAATACAAAAATTAGCCAGGCATGGTAGTGTGCACCTAGTCCCAGCTACTCAGGAGGCTGAGGCAGGTGAATCATTTGAACTTGGGAGGCAGAGGTTGCAGTGAGCCAAGATCGCACTACTGCGCTGTAGCCTGGCGACAGAGCAAGACTCCGTCTCACAAAAAAAAAAAAAAAGATAATATTTTGTTCCAATTTCAAAAGAAGGAAAGAGGTCTCTAAAAAGAAGTAGGACTTGTATTGAGAGGGTTAAATATTCAGTTGTGGAAAGATTTGTTTCCATAATGATGTTTTAATTAATAGAAATGGGGTTTTGCCATGTTGTCCAGGCTGGTCTTGAACATACGAAGCTCAAGTGATGGGCCTGCCTCAGCCTCCCAAAGTGTGAGCCACCACACCGAGCCCCACAGTGGTGTTTTTACATCTTTTTTTTTTTTTTTTTTTGAGACGGAGTTTCACTCTTGTTACCCAGGCTGGAGTGCAATGGCACGATCTCGGCTCACCGCAACCTCCGCCTCCTGGGTTCAGGCAATTGTCCTGTCTCAGCCTCCCGAGTAGCTGGGATTAAAGGCACGCACCACCATGCCCAGCTAATTTTTTTGTATTTTTAGTAGAGACGGGGTTTCACCATGTTGACCAAGATGGTCTCGATCTCTTGATCTCGTGATCCACCCGCCTCGGCCTCCCAAGGTGCTGGGATTATAGGCGTGAGCCACCGCGCCCGGCCCACAGTGGTGTTTTTAAAACCGCAAGGCTTTTCTACAGCTAGAGAAACATGAAAGTGATGGAAATCATAGGGAAAGGAGCTAATCAACTAGGCCACTTTAGGCCCGTGGCCAGAATCTATGTGGTAACAACCCAGATGTGGAAGTGGGGTCCATTCCTGGTTGGGTCTAAAGGCCACAAGACAACAGTATGGTTATCATTTTTTATATAATTTTCTTTTTTAAAAAAATGTAATCTCTTTTCAATTTCTAGTCACCTTCCTATCAATTAGTAGAGCAAGTACTTTTGAGGCAAGTTCTTGTTCTGTCGCCCAGGCCAGGGTGCAGCGGCATAATTATGGCTGACTGCATCCTGGACCTCATGGGCTGAAGAAATCCTTCCACTTCAGCCTCCTGAGTAGCTAGGACTGCAGCTGTGTACAACCATGCCCAGCTAATTTTTAACTTTTTGATAGAGGCAAGAGTCTGTGTTGCCCAGGCTGCTGTTGAACTCAAGAGTTCAAAGGATCCTCCCATCTCAGCCTCCCAGAGTGCTTGGATAACAGGTGTGAGCTACCTCACGTGGCCCACTATTCTGACTTTTTTTTCTTTTTTTTTTTTTTTTTTTTTTTATGGTTTTTACTTAGCAGGAATTTATGGATCATAGTTCTGGAGGCAGAAATCCAAGATCAACCACTATTCTGACTTTTAACATTTTGCCCAGTTTAACTTAATCAGAAGTATGCACCTTTTAGTGTCTACCTTCTTTTTGCTCAGTATTTTGTTTCTGAGGTTCATCCATGTTATGCATGTACTTGTGTTTTTTCGTTCTCATTGATTGTATAATATTTCATTGTGTGAATATGCTTTATTCAGTCTTGATGAACTTTAGGGGAATGTTTTCATATTACAAATGATGCTGCTATTGACATTCTTGTGTCAAATGTGTTTTGGTGAACATATATACATAATTTCTGTTGGATATACACATAGTATTAGAATTCCTAGCTTACAAGGAATGTGTATTTTCAGGTTTGGTTTGTTTTTTTTTTTTGAGGCCAAGTTTTGCTCTTGTTGCTTAGGCTGGAGTGCAGTGGTGCAATCTCAGCTCACCACAACCTCCGCCTCCCGGGTCCTCCCGGGTTCAAGTGATTGTCCTGCCTCAGCCACCCGAGTAGCTGGGAGTATAGGCATGCATCACCATGCCTGGCTAATTTTGTATTTTTAGTAAAGACGGGGTTTCTCCATGTTGGTCAGGCTGGTCTTGAACTCCCGACCTCAGTCGATGCACCTGCCTCAGCCTCCCAAAGTGCTGGGACTACAGGTGTGAGCTACCATGCCCGGTCTTGTATTTTCAGTTTTTATAGATGCAACCTGTTGTTTTTTTTCAAGACAGAGTCTTGCGCTGTCACCCAGACTGGAGTGCAGTGGTGTAGTCTTGGCTCACTGTAGCCGCCACCTCCCAGGTTCAGGCAATTCTGCCTCAGCCTCCTGAGTAGCTGGGATTACAGGCGCCTGCTACCACACCCAGCTACTTTTTGTATTTCTAGTAGAGACGGGGTTTCACCATGTTAGTCAGGCTGATCTTCCTGAACTTCTGCCCACGTTGGCCTCCCATATTTCCACCAGTTATATGCTGGAGCTGTGAGTTTTAAATTACTATTTTTTGGCCGGGCAGTGGCTCACACCTGTAATCCCAGCACTTTGGGAGGCTGAGATGGGTAGATCACTTGAGGTCATGAGTTTGAGACCAGCCTGGCCCAACATGGTGAAACCCTGTCTACTCAAACTACCAAAAAAACCCAAAAATTAGCTGGGTGTGGCGTTGGGTGCCTATAATCCCAGCTACTCAACAGGCTGAGGCAGAAGTGCTTGAACCTGAGAGATGGAGGCTACAGTGAGCCGAGATCATACTACCACACTCCAGCCTGGACAACAGAGTGAGACTCCGTCTAAAAAAAAACTGTAAAATAAATAAATTACCAGTTTTTTAGTAAAGTTTGCTTTCCTTAAGAATGTGACAAGGTATTGATACAGCACCTCCTGCATCAGATAATCTGATAATAGAATGTGTTGAAGCTGTGCTGTCCAGCATGGAAACCACTGGCCACATGAAACTATTGAGCACTTGAAGCATTACCAGTCAAGTGTTACAGCACTTTTAGAATTTGTCTGGCAGGCTTTGCAGTGTTTTTGGGTTTTTTTGTTTGTTTGTTTTTATTTTTGAGACTCAGTCTCACTCTGTCACCCAGGCTGGAGTGCAGTAGCACGATCTTGGCTCACTGCAACCTCCACCTCCTGGTTCAAGCAATTCTTCTGCCTCAGCCTCCCGAGTAGCTGCTACTACAGGTGCATGCCACCGCACCCAGCTAATTTTTTTTTGTATTTTCAGTATTCACGGGGTTTTATTGGTCAGGCTGATCTTTGAACTCTTGACCTCGTGATCCACCCGTCTCAGCCTCCCAAAGTGCTAGGATTACAGGCATGAGCCACTGCACGCACCCAGCTTTCCAGTTTTTGCTGGAAAGCCGCTTAAAGAAAAAAACTGAAAATTTTAAAATAAAAATGGCCTGAATTGAGATGAGCTGTAAGTATAAAATACACACTAGATTTGTAAAATTGGCCAGGTGTAGTAGCTCATGCCTATAATCCTAGCATTTTTGGGAGGCCAAGGCAGGCAGATCACTTGAGGTCAAGAGGTCAAGACCAGCGTGGCCAACATGGTGAAACCCCATCTCTACTAAAAATACAAAAATTAGCCAGGCGTGGTGGTGTGCATGCCTGTAATCCCAGCTACTTAGGAGGCTGACTCAGGAGAATCACTTGAACCCAGGAGGCAGAGGTTACAATGAGCCAAGATTGCTGCACTGTACTCCAGCCTGGGAGAAAGAATGAGACTCTTATCTCAAAAAAGAAAAAAAAAGTATTGATAATTACTACTGTATTCATGAAATGAAGTACTGATAAATACTGTCCTGTGGATAAACCTCCAAAACATTATCCTAAGTGAAAGAAGCCAGACACAAAAGGCCATAAATTGTATTACTTCATTTTTATGAAATGTCTAGATTAGTAAATCCATAGAGACTGAAAGTACATTGGTGATTGCCTCAGGTTGGAGAGGAGAAGAAAGTATAGATAAACTGCTACTGCTTAATGGGCATGAGAGTTATCTCGGAGGCAATGGAAATGTTTTGAAACCAGGTAGAGGTGGTTTATGCAACACTTTGAAAGTATTAAATACCACTGAATTGTGAACTTAAAAATGGTTAGGTTTTGGTGGGATGTTTTTTGTTAGTTTTTTTAAGTTTTGTGAATACACAGTACATATATTTATGGGGTACACAAGATGTTTTGATACAGGCATGCAATGCATAATAATCACATGATGTAAAATGGGGTATCCATCCCCTCAA